AAGTGTGTGTTTTGTGTGCGTGTTATCTTTGGAATGTGTTTTCTTTTTATGACAATCTCTTTGGGCTCTGTCTCACCTGTCATTGAAGTTATATGTAACCCCCCACCCCAAACACTTTTTTTTCTCCTGAAGTAGCCAAGCCCAAAGCCACAGGAGCCAAATGGGTCATTAACCCTTCACGCCCCTCCTCCCCTCTCTTCTCATGCTGTCGAGGTGTCAAAGCGACAACTGGGTGAACTCATGCCTCACGTGGGGTCATCAAACACTCTGGTAGCCACACCCAGGTCTCCATGGCAACAGCTGTGCCGCCACTGCCCTTAAACCATAACCCAATCTGAGGACTGTGACTGCTGTGAAACCAGGAAGTGAGAGAGCAGGAGGACAGGTTCAGATAGGACCGGGTCCCATTATTCTGCAGTCATAACACTTTTTTTTTTTTTAATACATTTGATTTATTAATCTCAATCTCAATCTTTATATAGCACATTTAAAACAACCTTCAGTTGACCAAAGTGCTGTACAGGCAATAACTATATTAAATAACACAATGGGAGTACAATAATAAAACACATGATAAAAAGCACAATAACTAGAAACATATATAAAATAAATAATAAAAAACACATACATATATAAAAATGTAATGTTCAACTAGTATTAAAAGCCAGTGCAAAGAGGTGAGTTTTAGCTGAGATTTAAAAAGTTCAATAGACTAAGCGCTTTATCAAGGTCTCCAAGACATTTAACAGAGGTAAGAAAAAATGGTGTCATGGGTTTGATTAATTTTGATAGGTTTAACGATCATAAAGGCTAGCTTCATAGTTAAGTTTAGGAAGATAAAGACAAAATATTACCTTTAAAATCCAAAGAAATTCAGTTGTTAATAAAATTATAAAACAAAAGATTCCAAAATTTGAGAAAATGTTTGTCACAATTTAGCTTGAAAAGCAACACAGGATTAATCTATAATCAGGGCTGCACATAACTGGTGCGCAGGTGCGCATGCGCACGCGCACCTCCGCCAAAAAAAGAGCACCGGGTCATTTGAAACAAAGCGCATTTGCGTACCAACATTGAGAGAGAAGGGAGAAGAGAAAATAGAGGAGAGAGGAGAGAGAGAAAAGAGAGAGAAAGATATTTGCGAGTTGCATATGAACCATGATATGAACTCAGGGCCGGCCCGTAGCTCTGGCTAGATGTTCGCCTAGGGCGCCAGATCTGGGGAGGTGCTGCGCTGGCAGCTCTGGGAGGGAAACAAACATTTTGACCGTTGGGGCTCATCCTAATTTTCGGCCTTGATGTAACAATATTCATAATTAAGTAAATGTAACACCTTTTCATCCCCGGTTACACGTTTCATTTGCCCTGTACGATGGGCGCTGTAAGTGATGAAAATGGGGGATGTTGGCTTATCTGGCGCCCGCAGCTCACAGCCAAAATGCGAGTGAGGGAGAGAGGGAGGGTGCACCGGTACCAGCGCTGTTGTTATTAGAATCTGGTGCCGTGCTAGCTGCTCTAACGGATATAAGAAGAAGATGTTTCTACAACAAGGTGGAGGAAAGTCCTCTCCAGTCAGACTGAGAGGCAGATAACTACAGCTCAGTGAGGTAAAGGACTCTGAGTGTTTAGATAGTTCACTTTAGTCTAAATTCAAACGGTTTGGTCACAATTTATGTAAACACATATTTTCAAGGCACTCCTTTATAATTATTGGGATAAACAGGTTTGAAATCATTCCAATGTATACTATAGGACAGTAACCAAAAATATCCTTTAAAACTGGAGAGATACAAAAAAATGCATAAATAAATAAATGTTAAGGTAAAATAAGATATGAATGAACAACACCAAATAAAATAAGTTACATTCATTTGTTATTGGCTATTTTAGGTTATTGGTTATGTTCACATACTTATTTGATTACATCCACTTTTCTAAGATGACAACAGAGACTTTCGACCCAAACCCAGCTGTTGACTTGTGGATGCAAGCAGCTAATCGCAGACTCAACCAGAGAGAAAGTAGTAGGCCTACATCACCAGCTACCATGTCTGACAGAGAGGAAGACAGTGAGGAGAACAGTCAGGAGGGTTGTGATGACAGCTTGTAGGATTACTGGTAGTGCTAATGTTGTCTTGTGTTCACCTCTGCATGTGTGTTCTGTGTTCACCTCTGCATGTGTGTTCTGTGTTCACCTCTGCATGTGTGTTCAGTGCCGTGTGTCTGGCAAATAAAGTCAAGACCCCCTCAAAAGTTACGGTTTATTTCATTTTAAGGATGAGCACCAAGCAACATCTCCAGGTGCTCCTTTGAGAACCAGGGCGAAAAAGTTATGTGCACCCCTGTCTAGAATCACTTTTCTTGCCGGTTTATGTTCTTCAATGAATCAATATATTAATTGGCTAATTCATCCTGGCGTAAGATGAGGGAAATTAGGACAGCGACTTTCCATTTTCTTCAGGACTATGAATCCATGTCATAAATTAATTTATCCGTGTACACCGTCACATATTTAATAATTAACCTAAAATATACACGACTATCTTGCTTGAGTAGGGGGGGTACCCTATCAGTTAAAGTATTCATCATTCAAATTCACCCGTGAGCTCACAGAGGTTTTCAGTCGGAGCTGTGGGACCTCTCAAGGTCCATGGTGGGAGTTAACAACAAGCCCCTAAATATCACAGAGCTCTAACAGAGAGGAAGTAACCCAGGTTTAAGTGAGTGCTCTGCTCACTCCCTCCCCTGTCAACTCCACTCACACAGGTGTGATACTAAAAAGCGCAACGAGTCCGGGTTCTGGAGATCTGTCTGTTTCTAGGAGGAATCACCAGCCTATTAACCTGCTTTCTACTGTCCAGGAAACTGGTCTCTCAGATGAAGGGAACACTATATAGCAAGGACCAACGTGCATCATCAATCCAATTCAGCGTGACAGAAAGAATGAGAGGCAAAGACGTTTTCATATCCATGTTTAAATGAGGCTGAGTTTGAAGGGCAGAAATGAGGAGGGAACCAACTCCTCATGCTGATAAAACAGGTAAATGAGAGTTAGAGTAACCTTGTTATTCTGTCCAAAATCAATAGCCTCTTTCACACCAAGTACTTTGCCGTACTTAGTTCCCAGCACTAAGTTCCCCCATGGAATGAAAGAGCAGATCGCGTTCACACCGGAATAAATTCCCTGAGGGAGGATTAGGCAAATGAAGCCGCTGACGTCACTACTACTTCTTCTTCTTCTTCTGCTTTGGGTTTACTGGCAGGCCGCAAACAACTTCATGGCGTATACTGCCACCCGAAGTCCCCGGCCGGAAGTCCCCGGAGTTGGGGACTGGCTTCAGTAGAAGCAGCTGGGACTCCCAGCAGCTTCTACTGAAGCCTTCTGATTAAATCGCCAGAACGCCGACACCTCCTCATCTCCACCGCTCCCATGTTTTCTTTTATGTTGCCATAAATTAATCTCTCTCTGTTGGTGCACTGGGCTAATCTAATAATGCTATTGCCAGCAAATACAATGGCGGCTTCACAAGAGTTTTACGGGGTGTGGTTTGCAATTCGCCCAGCCAATCACAAATTGGAACTTTTTTCTCCCCAGGAAAGTACCTGCTCTGCAGGGACTAAAAAGGGGGGAAAAGTTCTCATGAACTCAGTTCTCTTTTTGGTGCGAACGCAAAATCCCAGGAACTATCGGAACTAAAAAAGGAAAAGTACGGGGAAAAGTACTACTTTTCCCAGGAATAGTTCCGATAGTTCCTGGGATTTTGCGTTCACACCAAAAAGATCTGGAACTAGAAGTTTTTTCTGCTAACCTTTTCACCCCTTTTTAGTCCCTACTAGAGAGCAGGTACTTTCCTGGGGAGAAAAAGGTTAACATTTATGATTGGCTGGGCGAATTGCAAACCACACCCCGTAAAACTGAAAAGTTTTTGTTTAGCCGCCATTTTATTTGCTCGCATTACCATTATTAGCATTAGCCCAGCGCACCAACGGAGAGAGACTAACTTATGGCAACACAAAAGAAAACATGGGAGCGGTCGAGTGATGAGGAGGTGTACTTTAATGTTGCACCTATGGAACAAATTGTAATAACTGTAAGCTGGGCAGTGTCAGTTTACAATAATTATGCCAAATTATGGAACAGTTATTTTATGTTTCCACTATGTCAGAGGTGGGGGCTGGATTTATGAGAGCATAATTAAATAAATGAAATGAAGAATCCCACAATATCTGCCTCTTAGATTTGGGCTGCTTGAGTGGGATTTTGGAGTAGCGGAACATTTAAATGATCAAGTACCTGAACATTGTACCCGAGCACAACACTAAATGTGCCGATTCCATTCTACCACTGAATATTAAAATAATATAACATTTACGATGAGTGGATTACTAGTGGCCATAACTTGATAACTGGTCTACTCAAAACAGCAGAAAAGAGTTCCAGAATAAACTTCCAATCCGACTGTTCGGGGTTTGCAGGGAGAGGAGGGCAGGCTATTCCTGGAGAGGCTTCAGGCACGGCATGGACTTTCTGATGAATCATGTCAGAGCTATCCTTTGAGGTGGGCTACATTTAAAAATAAAAAAGTGGTTTTCTTTCATTCATTCATTCATTCATTCATTTAGCTATGTGATATTTGCCCTGCGCTGTTATCAGTTGGCCATCAGAAAGTCTCATGTGATCAGAGCCAGTCTGTAAACTGGGAGGGAACCTGCGTGATAAAACAATCACACATCTCCCCGGCTGTGAACACCTCTTCGTGCCGGACTTCAGGTCCCTCTGTGCGGGCTGACGGGCCTCAGGGTCCGGTAATACATGGATGTAGATGAAGAGTAAGAGGATAGCGGTGTGGTCCCAGCCTAACGTTACAGTAACCGTTAACCCCTTCATATTCACAGGCAAATTAGCCTCTCATTCACAGCCGCACCATGCACGCGCGGCTGAGCATGGAGATGAACGGCCACATTAGACGTTTGGAAATAAAGTCGAAAGGCTCACTCACCACTTGTCTGGTTGCAAATGTAAATCCCAGAATGAGGTGTGATAATTTCCGACACCGGGACACACCGTCTCATGTACTCGGCAAACTGTGCTCTCCTCTCGGCTGCGCTCCGCTCAATCGCCCTGCTGGCTGCTCTTCTTCCACAGTAAACTTGCAGAGCTATTGTTAGCTACCAAGAAGCCTACTGCACAGAAACACCCGCCCCTTACAAGCCACTCCGGACACGCTATTGGTTAATATTAGGCTCACCTGTCGCCAATTGGCTGATGCTTTCTGAGTTTGGGGCGGGTCGCACCTCGTAGGAAGAAAGCGAGCAGTGGTGTGTTCACGCCCCTATAGAAAAGTCCTACATTTCAATCAACTCCAAACTATGGTTAAGGAAGGATGTTGCATTCAGGTGTAATTTCTAACAGTATAAAGCCGACAATCTAACAGCGTAGAAATAGGAAAATGTACCTAAGTGAAAGGAGTATTAGCATAAAAAAATATTCAAATTACCATAAGTAAGGCGTTATGCAGAATATCTGATGTCAGCATAATGTGTATTTTATTATTGGAATTGTAATAATTGAGAAATTAATGTAGCCTATGTATCACTTTATTTATAAAACTGTGGAGCATTGCTATTGTACTTTATACTGCCAAGCAGCTCAATCTGTAATCTTTTTTAGCACTAAAATTAACAATATGTATTTCAGAAATGTAGTGAGTGAGTCGAGGTTACTATGAATAACGGAAACACTCAAGCTAAGCAAAAGTGAAAACTCACCTAAAAATGTGTAACAAGGTTCAGTACTTGATCCTATTTAGTTTGTTAGCAGCTTTCCAATACTGGTCAAAAACTAGAAATAATTTGGAATTTATATCAAATCAAGTCAGTAATTGCAGATTTTCTTTGAAAACCCATACTGAGGTAGAAAAACTGACTGGCAATCATTCAAAATGTGTAAAAAGTTATTTAACTTCTCTCCATATGATATTTATACTTATGTCAATATAAAAGTAAATCTAGTTGTAAGTCAACCAAACGTTACCTGGACATAGTTGAAACCTTGAAGGCACCATACACTGTTTCCTCAAAGCACACAGTACTGTATTACTGTTCATGTTCATTATGAGGGTACAGTGCCTATGGCGTGAGAAATAAGGAGACAGCGACCTCTAGCGGTACGAGTGAATAATTGCATGACTTATTCAGGATAAGAAAATATGCTCACTGTAAAACAAAGCCAAAAAAACAAAACATAAATCCCAGGTGATGTATTATTGGCAAAGAAATGCAAGTCCACCTATTTTCTTAATTGTGTAACTGACATTTCTCCCCTTTCTAAAGAGCTGCAGGAAGGTTCTTGTCACACCTAAACCCATAAGACTACTCTTTACAGTTAGAAAACACAACCCTCTCTCTTTTCCTCCATACCCAAATCTCTAAAAACGGGGCTGCAACGGAGCTGATACAGATTTTAATTTGTTGACGTCAGAAAAGGGGTGCTCCGCCTATATGGGCAACTCTCCACCTATCAGGCAGTGGCGGCGCCAGGGTATGGCTGGGGTAGGCTACAGCCATACCAAGAAATGGCTTAGCCCTACCTTAGCCCGACCATGAAAAAGTATGTTAAAGTAAGCATGTTGAGAACACGGATTGTGAAAATCTACCGGTCGTGTCCACAACACACAAACTGATCCTGCTGTAACAACAAGTGCACGTTACTGACGCAATATGGTTGAGACCATTCGGGCTTATGCTAGAGGGGTGCACGGAATAGTCTAAGTAGTGGGGGAGTTTTATACACTAAAGCAGGGTTGCCAACTTTGGGTACCTGGCTGGAGTGAGATTTTGATATCATGGGTTTAATTACACTTATGCGCACTAAATGACTGCTGTCGTGTCAGTAGTGGGACCTTAGCATATATATAGGATATATATACAATATATAGGCCTACAAATACACGATATTGGACATAGACTATAAAGGACACACAGTTTAATTCACCAATGAAAGTCAAACACACTGTTTTATTGTGTGCATAGCAATTAATTGACTTATCGTACAATAAATAAAAATGAACTCTATAACTTTTCTGACCTCAATACATTGCCATTTACATCAGGATGTGACGAGCAATTTGAACGGATGTACTTGAATTATTATTTTTATATTATCATGATGTCAGTGGTCTAAAATGGTCATACAACGGTGCCGACGATATTATCGTTTATCGCAATAATTTCCGGGAAATGTATCCAACAAAATTAATGATCGTGAGAGGCCTATACATGAAACACACACACAAACAAATCTACAGACTTACTCCAAACTGCCAAATATATTAATTAACACACTCTCACTCATATACTCTTTGACTCTATTTTGGCCTAGTAGAACAATAAGCAGCAGACTTTTACTTGTTATAATTTCTACTGGATCTTAGATCTGCGCATGCGCAATACGGGTCGGGGATTGACCAACCGGCTCCCACCGCTCTGCTGTCTGTTAACGTTGTTAAGAGTGGTGGGGGCGGGGAGGGAGCGGGTCGACATTGTAAATAACCAACCAAAAACCGGTTCATCTTGTTTTTGGCGTGAGAATAGTTTGGGCAGCGTGAGAGCGTGAGATTGAGAGTGAAAGCGTGTGTCACACGCCAGATGCGTGAGAGTTGGCAACCCTGCACTAAAGGTGTGAAAATTCTCTCGCGTTATAATATCAGCGTGGCCGCGGTCAGATCAAAATGCCTCCGAATGCAATTTGAATAGACCTACAGCCAATCAGAGCAACGAAACGTAGGGTCTGCTGCGTCATGCATTACTGATACGTCGATACGTCACGTTCACAATGAAAAATCCCCAAACTCGCGTAGAGTAAATTGCAGACAGACAGCAGAACTTCTAGGATTATTTGTATATTTCGGATGGATAGATTTGTTCTTAAACGCCCTCGCATTGAGGTACAAGTTGAACAGGTGCCAGAGTCACACGACCCACCTGAAGAGTGAATAGTGAGTTTTGAATATATTTTGTAATAATGGGTCATTTGAAAAAGTGTTTTGTATGACAATAGAAACACAGGCCACCTGTTGTGTGCTGTGTCTGTCTCTCTCTGTTTACCTGTGTCTGTGTCTCTCTCTCTGTCTCTCTGCCTCACTCTCTATCTCCCCGTGTCAATTCTATATGCCAACTTTTCTTGTTTCTGCCGCTGCGTAGCATGTTGTAACAACGTGCAATTAGCAGAATCGGCTATTGTATTGTTTAACTCACACCTGTTGCTCTCGATGTAATTTAGCTGATAAAAGGAGACTAATAAAAGCTAATAAAAGCCTCACGCGTGGCGTTTCACTGTCAAGGGGTGCGATATAGCGTGTATGTAATTACATTACAAATACTGACTTGAGCCCCACCACTGTATGGGTTAGCCCTACCATAGATTACCCAACAAAAATACTCTGGCGCTGCCACTGCTATCAGGGGAATGAGAGACCGCTCGAAAGCGCTGGAGACGCTGTAGTACATATGCCAGGCCTGTAAGTGGCGCTGTAGTCTACCACAAAAGCAGCGAAGAAGACTTCCCGCGCATGGTTGTCATGGTTGCCATGGTTGCCCTTCTGTTTATTCTCCGCTGTGGACGCTCTGGCTCTTTTTCTCCCTCCCCGAGGCAAGCGTTTGCTCCTGCTGCTGTAATTCTCTCCGGTTTGCCACCAGCAGATGACAAACACCCACCTCTCCGCCTCTTCCAAGGGACGAGGGGACCGTGCGGCAGAGTTTCAGTTAGATTTGTTTTCGCCAGTCATTTTGTTTTGTTATTTATTGAGCTTTAAAACAAATGAATAACGACTCTATATAATCATATAAGAATAATACACGGACGACGGAGCCTCTCTTTTTCTCCCCCTCTTCTGACAGCCCAGCAGCTGATCTCAGAGCACGCTCCCCTCTCCTGCAGGGGGGCGTGCTCTGATCAGCTGCAGCTCATTTGCCACAGAATCATTCCTTGCAAAAACAGGGCTGGAAAAGAGCAAATAGAGGCTTTGCATATGACGTCATGTTACCCGTGAAGTCAGCGCAACGGCCATACTGGAGTACCAAAACAGACACCGTAATACGTCATACCTGTTCAATGTTTGTTTTTTACCGGACATACAATGGTTAACTTCTGTGCCATTATTGGCTGCGGCAACAGAGGTGATCGAAACAGGGGGCCGAAGTAATTTTACAGGCTGCCGGCGGTTATTATAACACACCAGGGTGAAGCAACACATGAACTTTCAAAGCGTCGCCAGGAAAAATGGCTTAATAGGATCGGACGGGAGGATCTCAAACCATCCAACCACAACTAGGCTATACTCACGTTTGTGGGGATCATTTCACGTCAGGTAAGTGTCAGGTTTTACATACAAACATTCAAAATGAACATATAACCCACGTACTAAGACATGCATCTTAACAAGGAAATAGGAATCCTGGAGTCTGTCATCGATCGACATATCAGATTGTGGAGTATCTACAAAGTAAAGTCATCCCTTGGTCATCTTCACACCAGTCCGTCAATCCCCTGCAGTGCTTCGTTTAACTGTAATTTAAAGTAATTCCTCCCCCTACTGGCCATTTGATTATATGTAAACAGTAAAGGCTGTACAGTCCCTGGCACCTTTTCAGAGGCTTTTGGTTTTCTCAATTATTTGTCATGTTCCAATGTCTTGACACCAGCATTTTAAATATATCTAAAGTCTGACTTGTCCTGTCAAAAGAGGTCAAATGTGTATTAATTAACAGTTCACCCAGGATATATTAACTGACCTACAAGTGGCACTTTTTGACCAAAATCATCCTGACTGGGCACCGTCTGTCAAATTGGGCCACGAGAAAATTACAGCACCTTCCCCTGCTACACATGCCAGTTATAAACGCGCCAGAAAAAGGTCATCCATCACTACTTGATCTCTACAGCATGGTATCTGATATACCATCTTTAGAAGAGCCCACACCAGTCCTGGGAGCCACTGGGGAAGAAGAAGGACTGATTAAACCAGAGACTGGCACTGAAACTCAGACTGATTAAGCTTGGGTAAATACATTTTGAAAAAAACAATTGAAAGGGCAAAGTATTATATTTATTACAGGTTTCCAATTTACCCAGTGAAAAACAAGTATGCTCCTTTAACTGTAAGCTGCAGAGATCACCTCACATA